CGGGGGGTTTTGAGAGCTCCGCGCTGCCGGCGGCTCCTGCCCGGCCACGGATCCCGCGTGGCTCCTCCCACGGGGGGAGGTGACCGAGCCCGGCTCCTCCCGCCGCCCCGCCGGGACCCCGACGGCAGCCCCGGGCATCCCTGGATGGGTGCCCGCGGGTGGGCACCCCTGGTCCCTGAGCATCCTTGGATGGGTGCCCCCAGACGAGCATCCTCAGGTGGGTACGCCAGCCAGGGTCCCCTGGACGGGCATCCCCGGATGGGCACCCTTGGGTGACCATCCCTGGATCAGCATCCCTGGACCAGCACCCTTGAATGAGCACCCTGCGTTGAACACCCTAGGATGGGCATCCCTAGATGAGCACTCCTGAATGGGCCCCCCTGAATGGGCACCCCTGGACCAGTACCCTTGGAAGAGCACCCTGGGATGAACACCTTAGGGTGGGCATCCCCAGATGAGCACCCCTGGATGGGCACCCTTGGATGAGCATCCCTACATGGGCACCCCTAGGTGGGCACCCCTGGGTGGGCACCCTTGATGAGCATCCCTGGACCAGCACCCTTGGAAGAGCATCCTGGGATGAACACCTTAGGATGGGCATCCCTGGGTGGGCACCCTTGGATGAGCACCCCTGGATGGGCACCCCTGGATGGGCACCCCAGCTTGCCCAGCACCAGGACAGACCCCGTCACACAGCTCCCTCCACAGGGGAAGTCCCCCGGGGGTCTCCATCCTCAAGGGCATGATGTGACAGTGACACGGGGCTGCCGGGGTCCCAGGTGTCATCGCCCGCCGCCCCGCTTGGCCGGGCACTGCCGTGGTGACGCCGGTGCTGGGGAGAGCTGGGGGCCAGGCCCTGGGCGACGCTGGCTCCGACCCAGGTGCTGGGGGTGGGCGCGGGGGCTGCGGCTCCCTCCCAGCCGTAATGAGAGAGCAAAGGGGGAGTAATTAGTGGCTGGTACGGCCAGAAGGGGCCCGGCTGAGCTCTCCACCGCTCAGACAAGGGAAGGGGCCCCGGGCTCCACAGCCCCCGGCCAGCAAGAGGGGGCGATGGAAAAAGACACCCCCGTTAATGAAGGGACGAAGTTACGGGTCACCTTGCTCTGCCCCTCAGACCTGGAGCTCAGCTCCTCCAGCCGCAGGGGCGGCAGCCGCCCAGGCTGGGGAAGGGGCTGGGCTGGGGCCCTCTGCAGCAGCGGGGCTGGAAGCGGGGGACAGCGATGGCACCCCAAAAGTCATCCCCCCTCCCTCCATCCCTGCCCGGACTCTGGGCCCGGAGCTCAGCATCGCTGCATGGGAGCCTCCCCGCACGCGCCAGCCCGCAGGACCCTTCACATTAATTTAGAGAGCTTGCAATCATGTCTTTGGCAGCCTGGGATTACAGGGAATACTAATTAATTCATTAGTGGATTCATGGCTTACTTCCCACCGCCAGGCTGGGACAGGCAGGGCAGGCAGGAACAGATTGCGGCCAATAAATCTGCCTGTTGCCACACCGCCCGGCTCGGCGACGGCTTCGTCCCCTCCCTGACAGATGGCTCCAACAGGTCCGGGCACCCACACAAAGGGGCCGGTGGGCGCCTGGGAGGGGGGGGACACGGCAAAACCTCCCCCGGGAGCTGGCGGTGGCCCCCGGATGCCGGGAGCGGGAATGAGCCCCGGGAGCGAGCGGGGCGATGGCGGGCGCATTGTCTGCCGGGCCTGCTGCCTTTCAGCGCCCGGCCACGTGCCGCTCGCTAATCCCATTGTACGGGGGCTTTGCATCTGTTGGGGTTACGGGCGACTCAGGCCCCCCGGGACCGCTCACACAAGATGTTCAACTTTCCCTCTCCTGCCTCCATCACCAGGGGCCGCGGGGGGGGGGGGGGGGGGGGCTGTGGCTGGGGTGGAGGTGCACCCACCCGGGTGGGTGCTGGGAGTCTCTGAGGTGGATGGGAGGGAAGCGCAGCCGGGCATCACCATTTACCAGCCGGGCTCAGCCCCACATCCAGCCCCCAGCAACCCAAGGCTGCTCTGGTGATCCCCAGACCCCAAGCTGCGCCCACCCCAGGAGCCTCCCCTCCTCCCCAAGAGCCCTCCCACCCCCCGTGTCCTTTCCTTGTGTCCCCCCTCCTCAATGCCCGCTGCGTACCCCTCTCATCCCCGAGATGTCTTTCCATCCCTCCCAGGTGTCCTCCATCCCCCATTTAACCCCTCCCATTTCTCAGGGGTCGTCCCCTCAGGTCCCCCA